GTGCGAAGCGGCGAGTTGGGGACGCCGCGGCCCCGGGAAAACCGTTCCTTAAAAGTCGGGCTGACCTTTCTAATGAGTTTCCCGTGTAGGTCGGCGGCCGGTCCTTCCCCCGGTTCCTCCAGCCATCCCGAAATCGGGCTGTGAATAGCTTGCTGGGGGAAGGAGCGTGGTTCGGGGCGAACGTGCGGGTCGCACGGAATATGTTGCATCGGGGCGGGGGGAGGCTGGAATTTCCTCCGCAAGCTCCTCGTTTTCAGAACGTAGCGATATGGTTAAGAGCTCTCGGATGTTTCGCTCTATTTTTATTTTTTTTTTAAAATCGATAGCTTTAGATCTTAATGGGTTTGGAGCCTGATACAGCTTTTTTTTTTTTTTTTGGTTTAAAACCTTGCCGAACGCTGTTGGAGCGAGAAGTCGGCTGGTGAAATCGGAAATTCATGCTTGTATTCGTGAACTGAATCTTCAGTCAGATCTGTTGGGTTGTGGTTTTTTTTGGTTTTCCTGGAGAAAATGACGGCAAAGAGCTGGGTGCACTCGGTGGCTTGTGGGGAACCTGGCACTTCTCCTGTTAACTTGCAGGTGATCAATCTTCATTGGGCTCAGGCAGACCATCACGGAAAACACACAGCCTGTTTGTCTTGATTATTGGGGGCTTTGTTGCATCGTAGGCTGGAGAAATTCCGATTTGGACTTTGGTCCAGCGGGTTTGCCATCAGATAAGTTGATGACATTTCCAACGCAGAGCCATGAAATAGCATAATTACCGGGTGACTTCTGAGGAAATGGGCTCTGTGAAATAGAAAAGAAGTGTGAGAGGTAGCGAGGAATGAGGACTAAGAGGAAGACTGAGGGAGAAACAAGGGGAAAAGTGGAAAACTGAGGACAGGGAAGGACAAAAGAAAATCTAGACTCTGTCGTTTCATCAACCAGGTTATTGTGCTGTGTGCATTAAAATGCGACCATCCCCTATTGTTCCTCTTGCTAGACCAAAGCTGACATTTTAAAAATTTATTTATTTATTTTTTTTACATTTGAGGTTACGATGACAGAGAAAATGATCTCTTTCTCTGCGACACCAATACCTGTAAATTTGATGGGGAGTGTTTAAGGATTGGAGACAGTGTGACTTGTGTCTGTCAGTTCAAGGTAAGAAGATTGATATTTCGTTCTCTAATTCGCTAATGAGAATACAAATCAAGGATTTTGCTTTATAACCTATCACTTGGCAATTTATTCCTCTACATGCAGAGAAGTTAGAGGGAAAACCTGGCAGCCTGTATAAAAACTGGCAGGAGAACCAACTGGTGTCAAGAAGACATAAGTTTCTCTGGGAAAATGCAGATGCTGTGGCTTTAAATGTCCCTTCGGGTCTGCAGTTTCAGGCTGTGCATTTCTGATTTTTCGTCTCTGCCCTTTTAACAAGGATTTAGAGTCCTTTCTAAATTCATTTCTGATTCAGATCGTGGCTTATTGTATTCGGAGTTCTGATCTAGTTAAAGAAATGGATCTGTAATGTGCTTATGCAATATTTTCAGGAAGGGCTGCATAGTGACAATGCTTCTGCCTGTTTATCTGCCCAGCTGATCAGATTAAGGAGCAATCCCTCTGTTCCAAAATTATGAACTTCCTTTAGGTTTTATATAGTTTTAGGGGAGGGGGGGGCCATTTCTGAGTAGTAGGGGGGTTTCCTTCTGTTTTTTTTTTTTCTCTCTCCTCCTTGCAGCTCCATGTAAACCTCAGGCATTTGCAGAAGTCAGACAATTTCATTATGAAGGATTCCATTTAACATGTTTTAGCCAACTCGCAAAGCAGCTGTGCTTTACATAATGACCTGAATAAAAACTGAACAAATTAAAGGAGTTTTAAGCATGCACTAGCACATGTTGTATGTGCATTTATGACCCTGTGATTTCTTGCATTTTAATATGAATCTGTGAAGTTGTGAAACTTGTAACGCTGATTTGAGCATTTTGACTAGGGTGGGCCAAATGGTGCATAGTTCAAGACCGTGCACATCTATAATGATTAATTTATTATTGGGCTTTGATAGGCTGCTCACTTTGAAGCATGACAAGTACTGTTTGTATTTCTGTCTTTGCAGAAGAAAAAAAAGCCCAATTCCTTCATTTAAAACAAAGATGGAGTTCTCTGTAATAAGAACAAGACTGTTGTTTGCTAAAGTGTTTATTTCCTCTGTTGGGAGAGAATTCATATTGACCACATTTGGGGTTTTCTTTTAATTCCATTTCTAGCTTGCATGCAATCAAAAATTCAATGTGAGAATGCCATTTGGGGCATTTGCCTTGGCTCAGCCTGTGCAGTGCTTTAAGGGCTGGTCTGTTTTCTCTTTCTAAGAAAAACCTGTAACGTGGTGAAACATCTGTGTCCCACTGCCCAGTGAGAAGCCAGGGCAGCAGTTGTGCCATGACCACTGAGCAACTTAGAGCAACCCCAGGGAGCTCTTGAGTCTCGTTTTTTGGTCCCAGTTTGGTTTTGCCATTTGGCGTAAAGCCGTGGGCTCAGAGCCTGGAGGGAGCAAACGTGGATGTTGCTGTCGGCAGGGAACAAGGCATTGGGAGCACTGTTTTTCCCAAGGCGAGATGCTGGTCCCTGGGGATTCAGGGCAAATGAAGCTAAGCAAGAGGTGAATGCTGTGTATATGCCAGGTTGAGCAAGGGACAGCTGAAGCAGATTTAAAAGAAATCAGATAATTGGTATGCAAATATGTAAATGAGATCAAAAGAAGGAGTTGAACAATCATGGGCCTGATCACTAGTAATGGGGTGGAGTAATCTTTGGTTTTGGTGGCCTTTGGATCAGACTCTGAGCTCTTTGTCTTGGTTGGAACCCTCCATGGAGCCCCAGGGCTGGCCGTGACCTCGGAGGGCAAATGACCTGTGGCTGCTCCTGCTCCTGTGGCGTGGGGCCGGCCGAGCTTCTCTAGTCGAACGCGTCCGCTTTGATACAGACAGAGCTCAGGGGGACGTTAGCTTCTCTTCTAACATCCGTGGACAATGTGACAAGCCAGAAGGATACGCCACCGGAGTAGGAAATTAATTTCTAGTGTGGTGTCTGAGGCTGGATGAGTAAGGCAGAGTCGGCCAAGTAATTTGTGTCATGAGTAAGGGGATTCTCCATAAGAATTCAGGTCCCCTATTTTGGTGACAGCTCTCTGGGGTGATAGTGAGCAAATCAATAGCAGGCTCCTCATCACTATAATTACTTTTTATGTTTTCTCTGGAATTTGCCAGGGGCTTTAACTGAAGCTTGAGAGAATAGACAAGAACAGAAAGCTAATTTTGCCTCCGCACTGTTGAAAAGTCCTGTGCTGGCCAGCCTGTGTCTTGAAGGGCTGGGGGAGACAGAGGTGGGGAGCAAGGCTGCTGCGATCTCGGTTGGCTTTTTTCCAAACCAGAATCACAGATGCATCGTGACTGTCCAAGTGCAGTTAAAAGTAATTTATTTTTCTTTGAAAGGGTGAATGTCATCAGACTGCTCTGGAACACCTGAGCTAGGCTTCCATCCCTGGAGAGCCAGCAGGGATGTGCTGAGGAAGGGATTCGTAGTGTTTGGCTCCGTTTGTCACGCTCTACTGCAAAACTGTTAGCCCCGTTCACCGAGTCCTCACGATGAGATGTCACCGATTCCTCACAGGGAGATGTGTATTGTGTCAGAAAACGTCATGTCCCCTGCTCAGAGCAAGCCCAGACTGTGGTTCCAGCAGGGAGGGAAGGCACTGGGCCAGTGCTGGCTCCACCAGTGGGGGAAACCATCACCCACTCCCTTCCTGCACTGAGCACACTCAACGGGTTTGCCAGAAGGTGCAGAGCTGTGCCCACAGCCCTGTGGTGGGAGACGTGACTTGCTGGGGTCTGTACCTCAGTCTGCCCAAATATACTGGAAATAGCCCATGAAACATCAATATTTCCTGTCACCGAGACTGTGGACATTCACTGATTTTTCTGTGATGGAGCCCTGTTTTCACGCTTCGTGTGCTTCGGTGTTTGTGGAGCTCGAACACCACCTGGGCCAACTTGCAGCTTTACGTTACATGTTTTCACACTGCTGGGTTCAAGATGTAGGTGGGCATTTGGGGAGTAGTTATCCCTGAGGGTGGGAGGAGGTCAAACTTTTAACGGTGTTACCAGGGAGGAGGAGTTACACAAATTATCATTTTCCTTACGAAGCAAACCTTATGTTTTCAGTGCCCTGCCCTGACCTCAGCGCTTGCAAAGCTGGTTTGTGCCTGGCGGTGTTGTGAGTGGGCACTCGAGGCTGTTAGTGCTGGGGAAGGCAGCCTTTGACTGATATTTGGCTGGATGCATCCATTTCCCTGCCCTACAGCTGTATTTTAGAAGCATGACTGTGTGAGAGAGAGGTGGACGGCGTGGCACTGTGCTGCCAGCTTCAGTGGGAGTTTTTGGCATGGATTTCCCCAGTGCTTTTATCAGTTCTTACTTGAGGGATGGAGAATCATTCCTACAACTGAGGCTTGGTCTGCTGAGTCCAAAACCACTTCCAAAAATGTGTTGCTCGACTGAGGATACTGACAGTCAACGCCTAATATTCTCCAGTACTAGCAAGAAGTCTTTTATGGTGGTGAAGAGCTTCAAGTTCTGGATTCAAGTACAAGAGTCACCAGGAACCTGCTGATTAACGTCACACCCTTCTTGCTTGCGGTCTTGTTTTCTTTCCTGGCTCACTTCCACTGCGCTTTCCTGGTGGCTTTCAGAGCCATCCCAGCTCAAAGCCGAGGCACGACCCACATGGGAACATCTCACTGCCTTTGCATCTCATGACTCTCCTGCCTTTTCCATCTGAATGCTTGCTGTCCCAAAGTGGTGGTGGTGAGAAGAGTGAGCGGCGGATGAAGAAATGCATCTTTGACCACCACAGTTTGAGACAGAAAAGGCTGCATCACCTACGTTCATCGTGGGGTACCCTCTACCTCCTCTGGCCAAAGCCAGGCTGGAGTGTGGCAGGGGGCCCCGGGGGGGGCAGGAGCCACAGGAGAAATGGGGAAACTTCTGCCAGGAGAACGAATCCTGCCGGGAGCCCTGGTGTCTCTCAAATATGTTTTAGGATCACCAAGCTTTGGAAGAAGTTCCAGCCTAGCTCAGAGCAGCTCAAGGTGCTCGTTTCCATGGATCAGTACTCGGCTTTCGATGCTGTGCGCTGTTAACGTGGAGCCATCTGCCCTTTGGATTGCAGCTGAGTCGGTGCAAAAGGTCGTCCCTTGCTCTGGATGAAGCCAGCAGAGGGTTTGCCGCTATGTTTCTTGGGAACGGGATCCCACGTTATTTCTGCGTGTGTGATGGAGCCTTTGGGCCAAATTCCGCACGGTTTGCTCCGGTTAGAAGTCCCGTGGGTGACAAGCAGATAGTAGGTCCAAAGCCAGCACGATTGGATCCTTTGTGCTTTAAAAAAATGGTCCTTGTTAAGTATTCCAGATCAGCCTCCAGCATTTGCTCTTGAGCTTCTGGGTAAAGTTGGCATTTTCTGCTTGAAACATTGCTCATATCTGGAATGTAATGGTGAAAACACTTTTTAATCAACTGTTTAAAGTCTCTGCGTGGAGGAGCCCTTTGTTAGGAGTGGAAGGAGAGGTTTTCTGCTGTTGTGGCTGCTGGTTTTCTTTCTTATTCCAAGGGAAGAGAGCGCTGGGGGTGGGCAGCTGCTTGGGAAGATTTAAGAGCACACAATGCACAAGGAAAATGTCATTTGATTTGGCCCAATCAAAATGTCACTCTGGCCAACTATGAATAATTTCTTGGCAGCTGCTCTGTGTGGAGGCCTGCAATTAATGCAATCTATGCAATTGTTTGTGTTAATCGCTTCTGTAGTTGTTCACTTTGAAGCACATTTGATGTTAATATCCCTGGAATTTGGGTTCTGTGTTTCACGTTGTGCCCGCTGAACACACCTGAGACACTTTGTGGCATAATACAGCTAAATGGGAAGCCTGATTTCTTTTTAGTTTTGACTTGGTTTTAAGCGGAGGTGAGCATTTGTAAATAATAATTGTGATCATTCCATTTGTTATAATTAAACAATGAGGCATGGCAGGAGTGTGGTAATCATGAGATAATCATATCCCTGGTATAATTACCACGTACAGGGTACATCCAAGTCTTTCTAAGCTTCTGAGCGCGATTATCTTACGATAGATAACCGCACCCGGTAGGTCGCCCAATTTTCAATATAAAATGGAATTATTTTTATTAAAATGAACGAGAGAGGGCAAAGTGGCAGAGGGAAGAAAGTTTGCAGAGCTCTGGGCAGGATTTGGGGCTGAAGACAGGGGGGCACCCTGCCACCGCGGGGAGAGCATCCCAGCCCGCGGGGGACAGACGTGTCCCTGCAGAAGAAGAAAATAATTTTCCCTCTGTCCGATCGGTTCTATTTATAGCCAAGTACTTGAACAGCACGTTGCGCGCGCCGAGGCGGACGCTCCTGCGTGTGCGAGCGGCTGTGTCTGTAGCAGAGGGGGTGTGTGTGCGCAGGAGGAGGGGAGAAGCGAGCCAGCTCGTTGCAATTTGTCTGGAACCATCTAATCGAAGCCCAGGAGCTGCTGCTGCAGGTGCGAGGAGCCCCTTGCCTCGCCCCTATTCCTTCCCCGGGGAGTGCTTATCAAACATTTTGCCCCTTAGATGATCTTTTTCCCTAACCTCTTCGAGTCTGGTTTATGCTCCTCTGCCTCTTTTTTAGAAATCACCTCCCTTGGCAGCTGTAAAGATGAGGAGGAGGCTCAGGGTCTCCGTTTTCCCAGAGTTTTAATACAGGAAAGGGAGGGTGGGGAGGGATGCCGTGCCGCCCCGCTCGCGGGAGTAACGCCGCTGCTCTCTGCCCCTTTCCCGCAGTGTAACAATGACTACGTGCCCGTGTGCGGCTCCAACGGCGACACCTACCAGAACGAATGCTACTTGAAACAGGCTGCCTGCAAGCAGCAGAGTGAAATACTCCTGGTGTCCGAAGGATCGTGTGCGACCGGTATGTATCCACATGCTCCGAGCCTTGCCTGAATAAAATAACCTGTGGATAGCAAAAACCACCTGAATCCCTGCTTTGAATTCATTGCGGGCTCATTCACGGCAGCAGAAGCTGCTGCCATCCTTCCCTTCTAAGGTGCCCAATCTGTGATAGCGTTGACCCTGTTTTGTGGAGGGCAGCGCAGAAGTTACTCCCTCTTTTTTTCTCTTTTTTTAATATATATCTTGTGCTCCTGATCATCCTGCGCGCTGCGTATGCTTCTGAGCTGCTGCGCCAAGCGACTGGAAGCAGATTAAACGAGCAGATGTCCGATAAGTGGGCATCTGGATTACCACAGACCTCTCCGTAATCTGGAGAGATGGAACTGGAGCGCTGTTGCCTGCAATCCGGTTTCTCCAGTTTTTCCTTGGGCCAGGTTCCCAGCTGGTACGACTCAACAGAGCCCTGGTTGTAATGAGCGCTGCCAATTTATACCAGCTGAAGATTTGGCCCCAAATGCGCTTAACGAGCAAGTCTGTGCAACGGGTGTGTGTTTTTTCTGGGCTTGGTGGAAGAACTTAGGAAAGAGCGTATGGGAAAACTGACTGGCATTTGAGACATCTTTGCTTAATTCTGAGCATCATGAGCTATTTGTGTCTCTGCTTTTATGAAACAGCTAAAAAGGTGAATGAGCAAAATCAGTCAGGAAAGCCGAGGTGCCTGTGTGCAGGAGTTCTTGATGTCTGTCTTCTGTGCTCAGCATCTGCTAGAGGTGGGCAGTGAAGTTCACTTGAAAAGAGCAGGAGGAGTAAGTCTTTGTTCTTGAGAGAGTTTTTTTAAACTTGAAGCAGAATTTTGCCTTGGCTGAGGATGGAGGAGTCAATAAAAAGTGCGCTAGACAAACCTTTTGCAGGGCCGTAATTTTGTGTTTCATACACCTGAGAGAAAATGCACTTCTTTCCCTGGGAATGTTGTTCTCTGAAGCTGTTACTTGACAGTTTTCAAGATGGAAAAAAAAAAAAAACGTACTGCATTTTTTTGTGTCCATAAATTGGTATCAAATGGAGCTGTGGCTGACAAAGCTTATCGTAGGCAGGATTTGTTCAACTTGGTAAAATCTCTCAGCTCAGCTGCTGGTCTTTTTAGGGTCAAACGTTTTGATTAAAGAGATAATTTTAGTGCGTTGCCAACATCTTCTCTTAAACTTGCTCGCCTACTGGCAACGTTGGCAGCGTTCTCTCTGAAGCACGTTGTGGGTTTGAGAATCAACTTGATGCTGACAAATGGATAACCCCTCCACTACGGGGGAGGACAGCACGACAATCTCCCTCCCTTCCTTGTGGAAGGATCTCCTCTAACGGATTATTTTTGGTAGCCCTACATGTGTGCTTATTTCCGGGCTTTGCCTCGCCTAGAAAGTTTTCATAACGAAGCTCCGGGATTGGCAACGCCGCGACGTTGCACTTTCTAAATTTGTGGCTGCCACAGTTCTAGCCAGCAAAACATCTAGCAGAGGGGAAAAAGAAAGCACTCGGGTTTGAAACTCGGCAGCAATCTTGAGGAAAAATGGCATTTTGATCGTTTGTCTTTGAGTCGTGATGGTTTATTCCAAATGGATGCGCTCTCATGAGGTATCACCGTCTTGTAAAATCGATGACCTGAGTTTCCAGTCGGCCTGGCCTCAAGCACATGGGTTGAAAAAATTCCCTTTGAATGGTGAAGGCTTAGGAGTGGCCAAGTGAAGGAACTTTTTGCAAGTGTTGGGAGCCAAGCTTTGCCAGTGTCAGCACAACAAACCGAGGCAGAGGCTTACGGGGGCGCGGCAGCACTCCAGGGCTTACGTTGTTGTCGGCTGATAGAGAGACTTTAAAGGAAAAAGAATTGAGACGTGAGAAAGATGGCTTGACTGAACTACGTTCCGATTAGATCTTTATAATTTACCCGGGGACAACATCAAATGTGAACTAGGCTGTAATACACTTAACAGGCTTGCTTTGCATGCTGTAGCACATGAATATCAATTTCTTTCTGTTCTTTTCTCAGATGCCGGCTCCGGATCTGGGGATGGAGGTAAGAGCCATCTTTCAATATCTCTGGGCTTTTGTGCACACACGCTGTCATTCACAATTTCAGATTCTAAGTGGACATGCTTTGCGGTTGTTACCCTACCTATTGTCTTTTGTTTAGCTTTTTCTCTAAAAAAAAAAAAGAAAAAGCAACGCTTGGCATTTTAGTCAAGCTGGAAAGCTAATAATGATATGCAGTTTTCTAGGGAAATTCAGAAAGCTGTGTTACTTCTAATAGGACTTGGAATTATTCATAGGTTCTGCCAGGAGCTCTACCTCCATCTACTGTTGAAGTTGCGCTCGTTTGTTTTTATGTTTAGAGTAATATTTCTTTTGCTTTTAAAACATGAGGCAAACCCTTGGCTCCTCCTCACTGGAGGATTCAAGTCAAATATTTTTGTGAGTGTTCTTTGAAAGATATGAAGAAATGTCACAGGGAAAGAACAATATGATTTTTATAAGAAAAGCAGCAGCAAAATTGAACGTGGAAATAGTCCAAGCTCTTTGCTGCATACAGGGGATATTGTAAAATGTCAGCAAACTCGCATTTCAGTTGGGGATTGTTTTACTTTGTGGTGTTCTTATTTTTTTATTATTATTTTTATTATTTATTTCTTGGGTGCAGCTATTTGTTGGTTTGCTTGCTTGACACTGGTTCTTGGTTTTGTGACTGAACCTTCCTGAAAGTAGAAGTGTTGGGGCTGGGTAAAGCCCTGCCTCGGGGCAGGGAATGTGATTTTTGGGAGCTCTTTCCACAGTGAGGCTGCTGTGTCAGGCTTCCAGCTGTTGCTATTTCACTCTAATGTCCTCTCAGATTGTCTTTTTTAAAGTGTGACAGCCAAGAAATTCCTTACTCAATGCTTAACAAAAATCTACCATTTAATTTATGTTTATGCTGGAGTTTTCACTCGTGTGGTCAATAATTCACATTCAAATGAAAATTCATCATGGATATACCAAGGAAAACAGAATATTGCCAGTTGGTTTTATAAGTGGGGAGGCAGGGCAACAAACTTGCTCCTTTTCTGAAAATAATGCGTTCCCTACTCAGAAAGCATATGAATTTAAAAGCAGGATCCCCAAAGAGTTGAGTTTCGAAAGCTAAACTTGACAAAAAATGGGCGGAACAGGATTTTGGGGAATGACTGGGCAGAGAGTGAGGAAGCAGATTTGTGAAGGAGACAGAACCAAGTTGGGAGGAGTATGTGTGTGTGTGTTTAAAGGTCTACAAAGCTGCCTTGTGTTATTCAAGATTTAGTAGGCAGCTACTACTGTTCTTAAAGTACAAAAGTATATTTATGTGCCCCAAGAAGCTAAATCCAGCCAAGTCAATGTTGTCACTGCATCACTCTTTACTAGACACGGCCTTGTTGTAAAAGCTGTAATAAATTTTGGATGTCATCACAGTAGGTCTTATAAAATCCACTCCAACAATCGTGAGTGGGATGTTTCTCATCAGAAAAACTCAGGAGCCTGAGTTCTTGGGCAGTCTTGTGTGTTTTCTGGTTTTTGTGGAAGTTTTCAGTGGAGTTGCATCTCCTAGTTGGATTCCTGTTGGTCTGGTAAGGCACACATCTAATAAAAAATAAATTGTGAACTAGGAGAGGACATATTTTTTTTTTTCTGGTACTTAGATCGTAGCAAGTTTCTGCCTTTGAGGTGGTTTCTCCCATGACTGACACCAGCTCAGCTCTCAGCGCTGCTTCTCCCTCGATGAAGCTCTTGTCACATGAAATTATAACTGGTTAAGGGTTCAGAAATTGCTGGAAGAGGCTTGGTGCGACGGGCAGGCGTGCACAGACACACCGTGTGGTCACACAAGTCTCATTTTCTCAGGAAACTGGGCAGAGGAGCAACAGGATAGCCAGAGGCTATGGTTTGCCTGCCCTGTTTCCTTTCCACGTGTTCCCTGTTTGCTTTGCAAAGAAGTCGTCTCAATTTGTTGTGTAGGTTTTAGGGTTTTCCGCTTAACTGCCAGGGATGCTGGGATCAGAGAGAGCCCAGCTTCTTAGCACTCTGGTGATCTTGAGGGCTTTCCAAAGGTGATTTAATCCTTCTCTGTGCAGCAATAGCATACAAAAGTCCCCTTATTTGTGGAGTGATGGGTGAAGTCTTAATCTTATTTGATTACTGAGCCTTCAGCATGCACTTTTGGGGATATCCAGTAAATGCGTAAGAACCGTAGGTGTTCAAGTTTCTTCCTGCAGAAGACATTTTTCCCGGCAAACGAAGACTGAAAATGCATGAATCAAGAGCTGTTTCTGTGTTTTGATTGCAGAAGCTAGGAGTATGGTGTGGAATTATTTAAAAACCCCACATCCCGGAAAGATCCTAATCAATGGCAGAAAAAAAATGAACGTGAAAGAGTTTATACAGAGAGTAATTTAAAGAGATTCCATTCATTTTCATCTATGCCGTTCTCTAGACAACTGGGGTTTTTTTAGAACCCAGTGATTCATGTTTTGGTCTTGCTCAGCTTCATAATGAATTCTTGCTCGTTTCCTAGCTGCCTTCAAACAGCGACAAACTCAAGATGCAGTATTTTATTATAGCTCTTAATGGGCTAAGAACATCTCTCCTTGGTTTCTTTTTTTTTTTTTTTTCTCCTGTGTTCTCAGCTCTGGGGATTGGCTTCCATTCATAGTCCGATGGATTTACTGGGGGTGACCATCGCACGAGATGTTTCCGTGGTCCTATGTTGGATTAATTTCAGACCTTCATTCGTTTTCCATCCAAACCCCACTGACTTCAATGGGAATTGCCTGGGGTCCCCTGGGGTACACAGATCTCATGCTAGTTTGATTTTTACGTGGATTCTTTACAATCTAGACTAAAGCAGAATGCCAAAAAAAAACCAAACCAAACTAGTCATAATTCATCAATTTAATCAACAACGCTTATTTTACAGTAGTGTCTAGAGGTGCTAATTACGAGGTCAGGGGTCCGGCGTGGTCACCCTGATAGCGTGAGGCACTTCTTCACAGTGAGGGAGAAGATAAAATCTGTGGAGCAAAGGTTGTATATTCAAGTTTGGCAAAGGCTGGAAGTTGCATCCCATTCCAGCGGCTGAACTGGGAATAACGCATTCCGCTTCAGAGCCGAACCGGCGCTGTGTCTTTCGAGCCAGGCCCGTATGTAATCCCGAAGTAATCAGATTATGCTGTTCCTAAAGCTATTCCTAATTTGTTAGACAAACATTGAAAATCAACAACCTTACAAGCCGTCATCTTTTTCCCATCTGTCTGTGTCTTTTGTGTGTATATTTGAAGGATGAGAGCGGCTTGCTTCCTTATTTGTTTATTTGTTCTTTCAATTTATCCCTTCAATCTTATGCAGAGAAGCTGAAGTCCTGCAGCTCTTTGTAGGTGCCAGCATGTAGTTATAATGATAGATTTGGAATTCTGGTCTGCCTTTCCTGTTGGCTTAGAGATGTGTGAGTAAACACATACATCTAAATCCGTATGGAACAGCAGTCATCTTGAATCACTAACCCACAGAAAATGGGGAGGAAAAAAAATAACATTTTGGAAGCCTAAATTATTTGTAAGGCACACTATTGTGGCATGTGTATTTTTATGTTTTGTTTTCTTTAATTGACAGGTGAATGGCTCCTTTGACTTGATTGCATTTGTACTTGTCTCCTTGCTGGTTTTGTATGACTTAAACTCAGCAGCTCTGCTGTTTGGGTTTGTTTTTTTTTACCCTTTCTGCTTTATTACAAACTTGATTGATGGGCAGGGCTATGCAGAACACATTGAATATTGCTGTAAACAGTAACACTTGAGCCAAAATATGGAGTTTATATTGGTTTGGATAAAGCAGTGCTAAGAAATACACATACACGCCTGTTTTCATTATATGGGAAAGTACTGGGAGTGTTTTAGTTTAACCTCTGAAAGAAAAGGAGTTTGTATTTGGAGCTACAGAACCTGTCGTTTTTGTGATAATGGGCTTCTCTCACGTGAATTCCAAATGTCTGCTGATCCCCCATGCTACCATCAGCTGCAAGAAGGCAATAGGAAAGATTCTCCTGCTCAAATTATAGCTCCCAGATTAAATTAAAAGCAGCATCAGAAGGTACAGAATCCACTATAAGCAACGTGCCCTGCCTGGGTAAATACCTCTGGAGGGAGTGTTTAAATCTTAAATGATTGACCTGACTGTGGATGGTCAAATATATGTCTCCTTTGTTAAACAGGGTTTTTTACCTTGTTAACCTCCGCGTGGCACTGAGCCCAAACCAATAAGCTCTTTGAAAGGCTGGGTTTATTAGCTCGGGCTCTTCACTGGCCTAACGTGATTACATGGCTTCTCGTTCAGGGCTGGTGCTCATCTGACCTACATAAGAGTTAGGTCAAGAAAAGGCAGTTAATGTCCCTTTGTGGCCTTTAAAAATTAGGCAAGGATGAAGTTCCTGCGTTCTTGTTGACTAGATGAAAAGCACTTGGGTGTTCCCAAGCGCTGAACTTGGAAGGCTGCCGCCGCAGGCTTTTTGTGCTGGATAGGAGGCATTAGTGGTTTTGGAAATCCTAAGAAGGACAGGAATACCAGCTTTTGGATTCCTCTCAGGCTCTCATCTGAGCCAAGAACTGAGCTCATCAACCCTGCCTGAGATGTTTCAGCAAATCCCCACAGCTCCTGTGAACTTGAAGCTACGTATAAAGTACCAGTCTGGGAGGTAACGGTTTTGGGTTGAGTTGCCTGGGTTCTGCCCGCGTTTCGCTTGCAGCTTCTGAAGTCAGGGTGCAAAAATCCAGTGGAAAATTGTGTTTTGTCCTCGAGGTTGCTTCATGTGTGAATGCACAGGTCCCACCAAGCAGACTGTCAGCCCTGAGGCACGCCGTGGGCACGAGTTGACCCATAGTCAAGGATTTGTGACCCGTTTTCAGCCATTCATGCAAAACGAAAGAAAGTGAACAGAAGATGCCATAAAGGTGCACGGGCTTTATGTGGGCGAGAGGTAGGAATGACGTCCATTCGTAGCCTCTTTCCTAAATTATACAG